CTAAGATGCAAACCCAAGACTTATAAACTGACACCAAGTTTACCCACCAAAGCAATGTGAGACAAATCTTAACTCCATCCTTTGTGGAAATTTCACCAAAACACCATTTTCATGGAGCTCATTTTGGCATCGATTTCCCATTCTCCCGATAATGGTTTTGGATAACCAAATATACGATGTGAACTGTTACGCGACAAAGAACGCATTGCCATATAGACTCGCCAACTTTGGCACATGGGTCCCACCTAAAAATTATACTAAAGTTTAAGAAAAATCTTTTTTTTTTTTCAAACCATTTTCCCAAACCATTTCTTACAGTGTTTACTCCAAGTTAATTATTAAAAAACCATGTAAATAGGCGCAAAACAAGAGGTGTTATTCAAATTGTAATCTCCACAACAAATAGAATGAATTTAATTCACAATTTAAGTTTAATGAACTTGTTTATGTATTTTGTCAACATCAAATTAACATTATTGTACATATTTTGTACAAAATATCAAATTAGGGTTATTTACATTAATACTTTTTTTTAATTATTAACGAATATTACTTTACTCCATCATCTATGAAAACGTATATTATGACCCTTTAACTATAAAAACATATGATTTTCACACATCTATATCCCATCAACTATAAAAATATATCATTTTCTCCCTTGCATATCCCTTATAACTCACGTCAAAAAAGGATATATTTATACTATTTTCATAGTTGCGAAAATTAATATATACAGAGTCATAAGAAACATTCTAAAAATTCATCTTCCTTTTCTCTTTGAAATTTCTTGCTAGAGGAGAGGGAGACGGCAATAGTTTCCCTACCTATTTGATCTCCGTCTCATCTCCATCTGTTCCCCTCAATACTCCTCTGATCTTCCTCCAGATTTGATCATTAACTAATTCAGATCTAATATTTGTCTCACTAGTTTGACCACCATCATCTTACTTCCTCTACCATTGAGTCCAAAACTTTAAAATATGGCTTTTGATCTTTTCGGTTTGAAAATTGATGTTAGATAACACATTTGTTCCATGCTAGGCGACCACCTCAATTTTAATGTTCTATATTAACCAGCAGATGTAGGGTCTCCAGATTCCAAGTTAAAAGAGCAATGGAGTTTTGAATGAGTACGGTGACGACGTAGATCTGATATTTTTTTTCTTGTTTGGTTTTTTTATTTCTTAATTTGTTGATCTAATACTTATTTTTGTGTGGAGGTTTATTTCCCTCTATTGTGAGGGTATTTTCTCTTCTTCTATAGAGGCTTGAATCTTCATTTTATAGAAGTTGTTTATCTATATTTGAAACTTTGTGATACCACTATATTGGATTGATTCGTTTTTTTTATTAACTTTGTAATAAAGTTTTTCTTCCCGATTTAAATATTAAAAAATCATATATAAAATCATAAATTAAGGAAAAAAAAATGATATTCACTATACTTAATGGAGTTTAAGTGCAATTTACTCTATCAAATTAATATCAATGATGGTAGGCCCATTAAGAAGAAAATGAATATTTTGATGTGAAGTGTGGAGCACCGGGCCATCTGTCTTAGATTGGCGGCATTTGTTTCTATAGAAATGGCTGATAATCACCTTTTGATTTCGTCCCTTCGAATAGTTATCACCTTTCGATTTCGTCCCTTCGGATAGTTTGATGGCAATGGATGATGGTTACTTCTTCTTTTCTTTTTGTCTTTTTTACTTTATAATTTAAACTCAAATCTCTATATTATGATTTATCTTTCAAATTTTATTTTTTTAATTTTAAATTACTTTGAGAAAAACAAATATTAAAAGAATATTTTTAAATTTTAAAAAATTATTTCTATCCCAAAAAAAAAAGAAAATAAAATTCAATTAAAAATATTAAGTTCTTTTAAATTTTGGATAAATTACACTGACTTTCTTTAAAAAAAAAAATACAATGTTTCTTGGTTTTAACATAATTCAATTTGATTATTTTAATATGTTAATTCACATAAAATTTAATCTCATTTTTATCTGTAATTCATTAGTACCAAAATAAATAAATAAATAAATAAATATTTTTATCATCTATTTTATGTTGAAATATGTTTTTTAAATTTGTTCAACTCTATATTAGTTTTAATCTCTTTAGAGTGTGTTTGGTTTATAAATTTGGATAAGAATTTTGAAATGGAAACAGAAAATGTGTGTGAAAACTATATAATAGAGCATGAAAGTTTTTGAATTTTCAACATATTTTTGTCCTATTAGGACATTTAGATGGCTCAAATTTGTTCAAATTACAAAACAATGGCTGAGATGTTTTTTAATTTTTTTAAGTAATGTATTATCTTTTATATATATTTTTATAAAAAAAAAGTTTGAAATTAATTTTTAACCTATTTTCTAAAATAAGTTAAAATTATTTTGATGCTACATTTTTATATCCTATGATGTGGCACAATATTTGTTAGATATCTGTTATTTTAAGAACAAATTGTAAATATACTCTTTTAAATTTGTTTAAAATATAATTATTTTTTGTAATTTTCAAAGATATATTTGACTCTTGAAATTTATAATTTCATATAAAATGAAACGACTCTTTTTATGAATAAATTATCTAGCAATGCTACGTGCATAGAATTTTGGCTTGCCCGAATTTGTGGATGCCAATCGTCTGGCCGATCATCCGACTAGTCGCCTAACTAGTCATCCGATAATAAGGGTGACAATTGCGGTAGACAAGTGTTGCACCGATCGTCTGGACAGTCGAGCGGCATGCACAAATTCAGGTGATTCGTACAAACTCAAATTTGGTAAATGAATCATTTTTCTAAATTAAAAAATCTATTAATAATTTTTAATAATACCATAACTATATTTTAATTAATAACTTAGCAATTTGCAACATCAAACCACAAACCAAAAATTTTTACAATATCAGCTATAAAAATTTTAGGCATTTTGTTATGTTAATTTTCAATAAGATTACAAATTTTATGATTAATATTATAAAATTTTGTAATAAAATTATAAAGGGGTGCAATTCATAAGATTTTTTGTATAATTAGTTTCAATTCTCCACTTATTTGCAATTCTTCTACGTTCATGTCACCTTCCTTTTTTCATTCCACTTGGGAACAACCAACAGTACAAATAAGGATTAAGTCTAGGACCAGATGTGCATTTCCATATCTGCATCAATAATGAGTGTATGGCGGAAATTGAAAGCGTGTATTATGAAGTCTGTGTTTAAAATGAATTTAAATCATATATTGATGTTTTGGGATATTTTATATGTAAAATTTATGAGTTTATAGTATTAGACTAATTCCAATTATCACTACAAGAAAAGTGGGCTTAAAAGACGGAAGCAAATGACGGCACACTTGTCGTCTCAAAAAGTGACTTTTTGCGACAGCACACCTTGCTGTCACGAAAAATATGAGTTTTTGCGACGGCACAACTTGCTATCGCAAAAAATATGAGTTTTTGCGACAGCACAATTTGCTGTTGCGGAAAAATAGAGTATTTATGACGGTAGAAAATGTTGTCGTGAAAAATGAGAGTATTTGTGACAACAGAAATTGATGTCGCAAAAAAAGGAGAGTATTTGCGACAGCAAAGATTGCTGTCGTGAAAAAATAGAATTTTTGCAACTGTAATAGGTATCATTACAAATAAAAAAAACAAAAAAAAATGTGGCATTGAGACGGCTTTATATATATATATATATAGTCACAAAATGGTTTGAATAAATGCAACGATATTTTTCTATCACAAAAAAAATTTAAAAAAAACGACATCGTCTTACTCTTTTGATATAACATTTCTCTTTTCACCCATTTTTTCATCTTCCTGTCTCTTTATCTCTATTCTCTCTCTCTCTCTTCTCTTTCTCTCTCTCACTCATCACTGTTCTCTCTCTGTTTGTCTGTCTATCTCTCTCTCTCTTCCCTCTATCTCTCTCGTCTGTCTTCTCTGTCTGTCTGTCTCGCTCATCTCTCCCCCTCTCTCTATCTCTCTTGCTCATCTCTATCTGTCTCTCTCTTTTTCTGTCTCTCTCTCATTCATCTCTTTTTGCTCTCTTTTTCTCTATCTCTCGCTCATCTTTTGTTTCTCTCTCTTTCTTTCTCTATCTGCCTGTCTGTTTGTCTGTCTGTCTATCTCTCTCTCTTTCTCCTACTGTGTTCGCCTTGCTCACTTTTTTCCTCCAATCTTCTTTATTTACCGAGCTCTCTCTCGATTTATCGATCCACTACAAGAAAATGCACTTTTAGCGACCACTTTCTGTCTTTGTCACTCATCACTCTATCTCTGTCTTTGTCTCTCTCTCTCTCTCCTCCATCTGTCTCTCACTCATCTCTCTCGCTCTCACCACTCATCTCTTCTACCATCTTCACCACTACTGCAAATGTCATCCCACTACCACCACTACTACCACTGTTGCCACTCTACCTCTATGACTGCCATTACTACCATCATCACCACCACTCCACTACTACTGCCACTACTACTACCATTACCTCTCCTCTACCACCGCCACTCCATCTCCTCTACCACTACCACAACTTCACCAATAATCTCATTCGTCATCACCACCACCACCACTATCACCTTTTATCCACCACCTTCACCACTATTGCCGCTCCCTCTCCTCTACCACAAAAAATTAATTCCTGATTTTTAGTAACCAAAAAAAATGGGCCGCAAAAAAATATTTTTCATTGACCACAAAAAAATTAATTTTATTTTAACAAAAAATATTTTTCATTAAAATATTACCACTACTTCCACCAAATAAAATAATAATAATAATTTTTTTTCATTAAAATAAAAGTGAAACAAATAAATTTTCAACCTTAGTAACTAAAAAAAAAAATCAAAAATCAAAAAAAAATTCATTAACTAAAAAAAAAATTTATTTTAACAAAAAAAAATAAATTTCTTTTCATTTTCTCGCAATTTCTATCTGAATGCCCCCTTTCTTTCCCCCATTTTGTTTCTCGTGATCTCAAATCCCAGACCCCCAATCCCTAACCTATCACTCCCTATCACTCTCTCTTATTCTCTTCTCTCTTTATCTCTTCCGCCTCCTACGTCGTCGCCTCTGGTGCCGCCACTGGCGACCACCACTGTCGCAGCCACACCTCTTCCCTCACTGCCCTCTCTCTCTTCTCCTATTCTCTTCACCGATCTTCACCGGTCGTCTACTTCGTCTTCTCCACTCTCGTCGTCGGTTCCAAAACCCTAAACCTACCTTCGATCTTCTCCAATCCCTCCACAAGCCATATGTTTAAATCCATACGCTACACTCTCCTCAACTGTTCAGAACCTTTGTCTACAAAGGACTACCGTCGGACTCATCAGAAGCCGATCTCGAATGGGCTGATTGCGATGAGAAAGATCAGGTGACGAGGCACATTAATGTGTCAGAAACGAAATCAGAAGATGGACAGTTGATCTTTGCCCTAATTTTTCTCTCTATTTATGTTCAAATGTAAGTATGATATAGTCGTCTTCAATGTGGGTTTCTTGGGTAACTGGTACTAGTCTCGAGTGAAAAATTATAGATTCTGATATACTCAATTGTCTAATTTTGTGTGTTGACATTACTGTTTGCACTTTTGTATCATGTTTTGTATCATTCTGAGTCATGTATTGAATAGAAAATATGTTGAAAGAGTTTTTAATACAAGGAACATGAAATATATAACCAAGTAATGTTCATTTACAAGATATATTAGAGAATCCTAGTTTTTAACTCTCGATATCACAATTAAAGTTTTGCCTTCAATAGCATATGGTCTTCCTATGTCCAAGAATTAGAAAGGAAAGGAGAGTAAAATAATTTAGAGTGGAACCAAGAATCCTGTTTCCCATTAATTTTGTCAAACCACCAATTGATTGTGATTTCCTTTTTGTCTAGCTTTAATACAATAGTATATGAGCTAGCCTTAAACTAATTTCTAGATATAAGATGAAATATGATATGCATGCCGATTCATTCTCAGGATGATATAGGTTTTTATCTCATCCATGCCACTAGAATTTGGTATTATTTGATGGACTGACCATTTTGAAATCATATATCGGGCATGTTTTGTGGTTGCAACTTTAGTTTAATCCTTGAATTTTAGTGACCCTTCTCTCAATCTAGGCGTTTGTGTAATATTAATTATAATGGTATTTGGTGAATTTATGCCATTTGATTTACATGTTCAATTATCTTGCAGATTCCATTATGAATTTTAAGTAGGTCAAAATTACGTTGATCATTCAATCTTTATACTTCTTTTACATGTGCCACTGCTCAAAAATTATCTTTGTAGTGAAAATTCAAAATACAATAATTGTATTATATCAAATATTTTGATGCAAACACAAATCCTCACTAATTGTTTCACAAAATGCATTTCAACTGATATTACTATAATTTACATAAAAGTTTAAAGGAATTAAAAAAGCTAACAGACTTATTAAAAAGTGTTGTAATATATGGAAAATTACCCCTCTTGACACCTTTTGTATGAGAGCTTCACTGATCTCTTGTACTTTTATTCCTAATATAGATCTACCAAATTCTATGTTATTGGTTAGTTTGTCATTGAATCGGGACTCATATGTGATATCTTTGAATGTTCAACTAAATGGTGATAATGGTATGAGATCATCTGTTGATGGATTAGTCAGTCTTTTGGGCCGGATACTGAGTTATCAAAAAAATTATGCAACTTGTTAGTATGTTACTAGGAGATAGATCTTTGTGGTAGTTTGAGAGTTCAACTTGGGTTTTACTTTGTCTCACTACTATTGTAGAGCTGAAGTATTTGGTGTTTAAAAAGAGTTTCTGTCCCCATCTCCAAGTTGCCACGCCCCACAAAATCATACATTTTAAATTTACTCATACATCATGAACATGATTATTTTTGGTGATAGAGTTAAATAATTGATCATAAATTTGAGAAATTTAAAAAAATTTGCAGAGTTATCCAAAATAGTTTAATATAAAGGTTTTGTTGTGTTGTGTTGACTTGGCAGTTGAATTATATTTTACATTAAGTATGATGTTCTAATTTAGCGTTGAGTTTTATGTTAAGTCGTTATTTTGGACAATGGTTACTAAATTACTTTTGGAAACTGCAGTTACCATGATAATGCATTCAAAATCTTCTCGTGCATTGCATATTATAAATAAGTTGAACACTTCTGCCACATATGACTTGTTGGAGTTGTTCTTTAAGCAGCAGGTATGTAATAATCCAACCCTCTTATATGCTTTACATTTCTAGTTATATGAATAATTACTTATTTAATGTGAAATTCCATGTGGGGTTGTGCTTACCTATATGAATTATTTAATTATGTTATTCTGTCTGTTGGTTATTGGAGTACATCTGTTAAAATTAGGACGCTTAATCTAGAAATTGGAAGCCTTAGAGGCGCGACAACCCAAAATTGGCTTTACATTTATGTTTAGCATGATTTTAGGGACATAATATAAAGTTTTTGTAAAAATTTGATTCGTAATGAATTAAAGTGATTTAATTGGGCTAGCCTTATATAAGCCTTAGCTATAAGAGATTCAAGGCAACACTTAGCATCAAAAAACAAATATAAATTATCTCTTGGAGGAGACTTAAAGAAGAGAAAGAAGAGAGGAAGGAAAGAGAAATTAGGGCTTGGAAATTGAAGGGTTTTGCTAGAAGATTCAAAGAATAGAGAACAACGTATATGTAATCTAACTCAAATACCCTAAATCTCACTCCAATTGTTTTGTATCAAGCTTAAGGATGATGTTCTCCACTTATTTAACTTGGGGGTTTTTAACTACCCACTTTGATTGGTAAATATCCATGGAAGGCAGCAAGATCCATTGTTTTGATTTAGTTGAGGCTTGATTCTTTTGTTAGATAATCTTTAGTCTTTGCACATGTGTTTGTTTCTACTTTGTTTAATCATGGAAAGATGAAAAGAAATATGATTGTAAAATTGTATAAATTGCTTAAAGTGAATTATGATCTATTTATGTATGAATTCTTGTTTTTTATGCTCACAAAATATGATATTGAGAAGGTGTTGCTCATATTTTCCCTTAGAAATGCCCTTGGAAAGTTTGTTTTTGATGGAGTTTCGGACTGCCCAAAACAGGGTATACGACCGCACGTGCGGGGCTCATGGCCTCACGTGCGGGAAGCACAACCGCACGTGTGGTGCTCACAGCCGCATGTGCGGAAAACAGGGGAGAAAGGTTGGGCTACACTGCAATAAAAGCACGTGCGGCGCACCGGCCCGCACGTGCGATAGGGACTTTCGTAGGTACGACCCAAGCTCAAAGATTCTGTAATTGTCTTTTGATCTTTTTGACCATCTGAATGTGTTATTATGGCCATTCGATGCTCCTATAATGCATTCAATTACATGGAGCTTAACGAATCGGATAATTAAGAAATAAGAAGAAACTAAGAAAAGCTGATATACTTACGAGTTGTGTGCTATGTGTAGGGCACATACAGGAGGGGATCATCGTTCACCCGTATCACTATGAGTGATAGTAGCGTAAAGTCATGTTTCATTCATGTATTATGTTCATATGTGTGGTTCGATACCTTATTCACTCTTTTGGTAAATAACTTATGTTATAAGAGATATGTTTGATATATGTTTGAACTTTGGCACATGAGATATGGACCTGAGGTCATTCTGATTGCATTATGATGGGCCCAAGGCCATTTTGCTAAAATAATGAACCTAAGGTCATTTTGTATTTCGTTGGGCCCGAGGCTGTTTTGCTATTATAATGGGTCTAAGGCCGTTCTGTATTACGATGGGCCTAAAGTTGTTCCGTATTACGATGAGCCTAAGGCCATTCTGTATTACGTTGGGCCTAAGGCCATTCTGCATTATGTTGGGCCTAAGGCCGTTCAGAAAAAGAAATATGAATAAGTCCAACGTGTGATTTATTAATATGCATTGTAAATTATGCTCGTACCCTTAATCTGTTTGGATTACTATTATTCACTGAGCCTTACTCACTCCATTTTTTATTTGGATGTTTTGTATGTAATCAACTTGCGGGGCAACTGTAGGTCAGCCCAGGAGTCTTTTATTGAACCGTTTTACTGAGTCACCCGAAGTGACTCTTTTGTTTAATTTTGGGAAATCTATATGTTGACATGTTTTGTTGGAATTAGGAGGAATAAACATGTGTATATATGTTTTGGCATTGCCTAACTTTTGGGTTGTTACCTTTTCCACATAAACAATAATGTAACTAGTGTATGAAATGTTATGTTCTTATATATGGTAATGCATTAAGATCCTGTCATGTAGTCACAACTCAATGAATTTTTTATTCTATTATTTTGCTTCCATTCTGGCCCTAATTTTGAGTAAAATTTATTATAGCAAAGTTGAGGCCTTAAGTTGGGCCAGTCATGTCCAAACTTTTAGGGGCAGGTTTGGGTCGTGACAAGGTAAGAACTCTTTAAATTATAATTATACATCGATCTAAAGTTATAATAGCCGTGAGATTGATATTCTTCTTGCATGCCTTGGCTGTGATATTATTTCAGATAAGAAGCTCTTTATGTTAAATAGGAAAATTAATTTTGGTAGAATGGTTATTGAAATTAGTGTCTGCTTTATCTTATATTGGAGAATAGAATACTATGACATAATAGCATGATGATATCACAATCATCTACATAAATTGGCCATCTAGCAGCATTAATATCCATCATTTTCTAAAAATTCAAATTAATTGAGTGGGTGTCTGGCAAGGACTATTAGATTAGAGTTTAGTAAGCATCTAAACACAATATTCTAAAATGATTAATCACCTGGGAATGGTCTTTACAGTAGCATAGTATCACTTGACTTGTATGTAGGGAGAGAGATTTACAAAATCAACTAGTTCCTTGAGAAACTTAAAATTTGAGGTGTTAACGTCCCAAAATCACCAAACGGCATCAGATTAGCACGAAACTTGGCACACGTGACCGCCTAGGCATGAGAGACTTGTGGGAGAAGACGGGACTCGAATCGAGTTCCCGATTTGGGAGTTGGAGTTAGATTTCACTCTAGACAAACTAATTTCTTAAGAAACTTAGAATTCGAGGTGCTAACGCCCCAAAATCACCAAACGGTGTTGAATTAGCATGAAACTTAGCACACAAGACCGTCTAGGCACGAGAGACTTGTGGGAGAAGACGGGACTCAAATTGGATTCCCGGTTTGGGAGTTAGAGCCGGATTTCAATCTAGACAAACTAGTTGAAACTTAGAATTCAAGGTGTTATTGCTCCAAAATCACCAAACAACATTGGAGGAGCACGAAACTTGGCACACACGACCACCTAGGCATGAAAGACTTGTGGAGAAGACGGGACTCAAATCGGATTCCCAGTTTGGGAGTTAAAGTCGAATTTCACTCTAGACAAATTAGTTTCTTAAGAAACTTAGAATTCGAGATGTTAACGCCCCAAAATCACCAAACGGCGTCGGAGTAGCACGAAACTTGGCACACACGATCGCCTAGGCACGAGAGACTTGTGGGAGAAGAAGGGACTCAAATCGAATTCCTGATTTGGGACTTATAGCCGGATTTCACTCTAGACAAATTAGTTTCTTAAGAAACTTAGAATTCGACGTGTTGACGCCCCAAAATCACCAAACGACGTCAGAGTAACATGAAACTTGGCACACATGACCGCCTAGGCGCGAGAGACTTGTGGGAGAAGATGGGACTCGAATCGAGTTCCTGGTTTGGGAGTTAGAGCCAGATTTCAAGCTAGGCAAACTAGTTCCTTAAGAAATTTAGAATTCGATGTGTTGACGCTCTGAAATCACCAAATGGCGTCGGATTAGCACGAAACTTGGCTAACACGACCACCTAGGCACGAGAGACTTATAAGAGAAAATGAGACTCGAATCGCGTTCTCGGTTTAGGAGTTAGAGTCGGATTTCGGTCTAGGCAAAATTATTTACTTAATTATCTTTATAATTGTATAGTAGTTAAATTTTTATATTTCTTTGTAATTAACATATTAACACATAATTATATTATCATTAATTATTTTTATATTTTGTTTTCAGATATTTCCCGAGTAGGAGTTTGCTTCTTGTGAAATGCATGCCTGTGAAAAATGCGACTAACTTTTGTCTTTGTTATCCACGGGAATGATAAGGAAAACTTTTAATTTTGGTTTATGTTATTTTAAATTATGAACAACTTTATGTATTTAAACATTACATATGTATTATGGAACATTATGTAGTGGGGTAATTTTATTGATGTGTAATTATGGATGCAAGAATGTTTTTGTTATAGAGAAATTGTTATTTCTATACAGGAATTTTTATATTATTATGTAATTATTGGTTTATTTTTCATTTAATACAAGTAATTTTAATATTTTTAATAATTATATTGTAGGCTTTTTTTTTTTTTTTTTTTTTGGCAACAGCACCACACCGTTGCCAAAAAAAAAGTAATTTTTATTTTTCGCTTCACCGGCGGGGGGCAACCTCCTTTTTGCCCCCCCCCCCCCCCCAACAAAAAAAAAAAAAAAAAAAAAAAAAAAAAAAAAACACAATTCGTGACAACATTACTTGCGGTCTCAAATAAAACTTTTAGCGACTATAAAATAGTGTCGTCGCAAAAGGTCTCACTTTTTTACATATTATAGGCGACAGTAAAATGCCGTTGCAAAAAAAAGGCAACGGCATGATGCCATCACTAAAAAGTTTTTGCAACGCCCTCTATTGTGACCCTCCTTTGCCGTCGCTAAACGTTATTTGCCATCGCTAAAAGTTTTTTGAGACGACATTAGGAGCATTAGCGATGGCATTTTGCCGTCGCAAAAACCTGAATTTTTTGTAGTGTATACTCTCCATTTTTTAGTAGTTAAAATATAAACAGCATATTTTTTATTTATGTACTCCATTGTTGCTCTTTATTTTACTTATATATATACACAAATCTCTTAAATAGCTTCCAAAACTCTTCAAATATAATTAATCTTATAGAATTTTACTGAAATAGCTATTTTTCTTGTTTATAGAATTATGCACACAAACCACTTGGATTTTTTATTTTCGTATTTTTTTTAGTGAATTTTTTTTTACTCTTTTAAGCAATTTTTTTTTTACTTTTTGGATATACTTAATATAAATACAATTTAAATGTATAATATTTATGATTTTTTTTTTTAAATTCACTAAATACCAAAAATTTAATACATTTTCATATCCTTGTGTATTTTTTGAATTTTTAAAATTTTCTTTACAAATATTTTGCTTTTTAAGTACATCTAAGTGCATCTAAAAAGTAAAAAATTTGCTTAAAATATCAAAAAAATTCACTAAAAATGAAAGAAAAAAAAATATATGGAAAAGCAAAAACTCAATTTTCAGAAAATTGAATTCTAAAAATTGAAACCAAACCTAGATGAATCTAAAAATTATTATTGATTTTTTTTTTAAATCCATCTTGTCTAGATGAATCTAAAAAAGTATAAAATTTGGAAATTTCTTATAAAAAAAATTAAAAAAGCCAAAATAAATCTAAAAAATTAAGTATTTTTGGATTTTTTTTATCTTTTCTAAACTTTTTTAGAATTTTACAAAAAAATTATTTCTTCGATTGGTCTGGTCAAACTGGATCTAGATAGTTAAAACTTTTGAATTTTTTTTTAAATTACTAAAAATAAAAATAAACTAAAAACAATTACCAAATAAACAGAGGAAAAATATCATTTAAGTGAGATGTAGAAAAATAATAACACATTAATGAAAAAACTTAATAATATTAAAAAAATAATTTAAATTTTCTTTTAAGAAATTTTAATAATTTTTTCATGTTACCTCCGATATGTTCTTTCCCCATAAACAAATTACAAACACCGTAAACCCCAAGTAATTAGTCTAGCGTGTGCAACTTAGAGCCTGAAATTTACTTTTAGATCTCATATTCAACTCTCATTAGATATTATTATTGGCACCATAAATCTGTAATTATTATTATTATTATTTATTATTTATATAATTACAGGATATGTCGCATCCTCCTACTCATTTGGAGGTTATGAGAAGTTATGAAATGTGAAAAGATGATAGAGAATAAAGTGGAGAACATGGAGCATGAATTGGAGGTTAAAGGAAGTTATGAAGACATGGAGGGATATGTGGCATTGTGGGAATGAAAATGGAAGAGTGGGTAGTTTTAGGTGGTTATTGGGTAATTATTGCTGGAAGTTTTTTTCTTCAAATATTTGCCTTAAATAGCCATTCATGGTGACATTGTAAAAAAGAGATCCAAAATTCAAATCAAAGACAATTGATTTCAATATTTCTTATCATTTTCCTTATTTTAGGAGTAGTTTAATATAGATTTATATTTCAAAACATTTATTTTCAGCATTTCCTTTTCAAAGTATTTTATGCACTTCCTTTTCGAAGCATAGGAGTAGAGGTAAGTAATTATTACTTTGATTGTTCACTCAATCATCTTTTTTCGTCTCCCTCATTCTTCTTTTAATTTTTCTTTTCTAAACACTTGGCAATTTTGAAGTCTTCTTTGTTAAGGCAAAAGAACCTTCAACGCAATCGCTTGATAATTAGCTTGAATTTAATCTGTAATCCTTATTGACACGCTTGCATTTATGATATTTTCCTTCATAGGAAAAATAAGTCAACAATTATTAATTCCTTAAAATCACACCCAAAAATTATGTTCAATATTTATCCAATCCACAAAAGAAGCATTTTACATAAATCCTAAAGCTAGTAAAAGTACTCATAAACTGACTCCCACACAAAACCATAAAAAAAATCCCAAACACCGTAAGCACTGCCTAAGCACAAAAAATGTGAGAAATTATTGTCACGGTCACTCTTATATCATCAGTAATTATGTAATTCCAACTGTCAATCTTATGTCATCAATAATTATGTCAGGGAAACGGACCATCAGAGGGTCACTTTACTCCCGATTTGCTTGCGTGTCCCTCGGATTTTGGCACGTGTAAAGCAAGCCACCAAAACTTTGACAAAGGCTTATTTTGATAATTGAGTTAAAAATTAATTTTTTAATTTTTTAATTTTGTAAAATTATATCACTTTTTTATTTTTTTATATTTTTTTATTAAGAAAATTTTAAAAATTAATTTTTAATCTACTTTTCAAAATAAATCAAAATTATTTTAGTTATATCCTATGACGTGGCACAATATTTGTTGGATATCTGATACTTTAAGGACAAATTACAAATATATTCTTTTAAATTTGTTTAAAATATAATAATTTTTTCATAATTTTAAAAGATATATTTGTCTCTTGAAATTTATAATTTCATATCAAATGAAATAACTCTTTTTATTAATAAATTATCTATCAATGCTGCATTCATATAATTTTGACTTGTCCAAATTTGTGCATGCAAATCGTTTGACCAATCATCCAACCGGTCGTCTAACCAATCATCCAGCAACAAAGGTAACAGTCGCAGTTGACAAAGGTTGTACCGGTCATCTGGATAGTCGAGCGGCATGCACAAATTCAGGCAATTTAGACAAACTCAAATTTGATAAATTAATCAATTTTCTAAATTATTAAATTAATTAATAATTTTTAATAATACCATAAATATATTTTAATTAATAACTCAACAATTTGGAACATCAAACCACAAATCACAAATTTTTATAATATCAACTATAAAATTTTAGATATTTTATTATGTTAATTTATAATAAAATTACATATTTTATGATTGATATTATAAAATTTTATAATAAAATTATAAAGGGTGCCACCATAAAAAAATTTGTATAATTATTTTCAATTCTCCACTTATTTGCAATTCTTCTATGTTCACATCACCTTTTTTTTTTTTCATTTCACTTGGGAACAAACAACAATATAGATAAAGATTAGGTCTAGGACCAGACGTCGATTTCCATATTTGCGTTAAGGATAAAGTCTAGGACTAGACGTCCATTTCAATATTTGCGTCAATAATGGGTGTGGGGAGGAAATTGAAAATGTGTGTTATAAGGTCTATGTTTAAAATGAATTTAAATCACGTATCGATATTTTGGGAGTAAAATTTATGAGTTTGTAGCATTAAAATAATTCCAATTATACTTTTCATTTTTTTATTAGTCAAAATATAATTTTTTTTTAATTTATTTATGTACTCTAACGTTACTCTTTATTTTACTTATTTATACACATAAACCACTTAAATAGCCTTTGAAAACTCTTCAAATACAACTAACCTTATAG